ACACTATCAACTGCATGATGGAATACATACTAACATCACACTACACACACACACACACACTCTCTCTCTCCTGTTAAATTAGCCTCAGATATAAATGATCGAGTCTCCATTCCTGCAAACAAAAGGTGAATCAAATGAAATCTGCTCTAATATTTACAGCGCGGTGGTGCAGTGGTGTCGCACTGTGGCCTCACAGCAAGAAGGTCTCTGGTTTGAGTCTCGGCTGGGTCAGTGTGTGTTTCTGTGTGGAGTTTGCATGTTCTCCCCGTGTTGGTGTGGGTTTCCTCCGGGTGCTCCGGTTTCCCCCACAGTCCAAACACATGTGCTATAGGGGAACTGATCAACTACACTGGCCGTAGTGTATGAGTGTGTGTGTGTGAATGAGTGTAAGGGTGTTTCCCAGTAGTGGGTTGCAGCTGGAAGAGCATCCACTGTGTAAAACACATGCTGGAACAGTTGGCAGTTCATTCCACTGTGGCGAACACAGAGATGCCAACTGACCCAGCCAGGACTGGAACAAGCGACCTTCTTGCTGTGTAACCCACTGAGCCACCCTGCTGCCCCATAGTTTTTTTTAATCGTAGTAAATTACTTGACTTAATCCATCCTGGTGACCCATAGTTGCTATGGTAACACAAAAAGAGTAATATAAACAGATGACCCAGTGCAAATTACTGTATAGTGCTGCAATAGTCACACAATGTCACCGCCTTCCAAATTCTGAGTGGAGAGTGGAAATAAACGGCATGGGGGAGAGCGGGGCACACACTGACACTTTTTGGTTTTGGTTAAATAATGAACAGAGTAATGAGGTTACACAAACCATATTTTCACCAACAACACACACGCCTCTCCTACTAATGAGCACACAACATCAGACGTTTTACATTCACACTGTCACAGATTTAAAAAAAATAAAATATATTGAGTATAATAAAAACTATGCTGCAGAAATGGTTTCTCCTGTGTTTCTCATCCACATTTCGCCAAACTTTTTCAATAATTGGCAGGAAGATGTCTGCCGACACTGAGGTGAAAATGTCAGAAACACGCCACGCTTAACCCTGAGCAAACAGCTTAAACTGTGTGTTACATACTCTACATATCCTCCAGTTTTAGCTGTCTCATTAGTGTCCTGTTCAGAAACTGCTCAGGGAATAAGTTTGTTGATCCCCCAATGGTTCTGACTCGTGTTCAATGTTTGGGCTAGAGCAGAGCCATGCTTCTCAACAGAACACACATGACAGCCAGTATGAGTTGCTTCAAGAGTTCACCCTCAGCTGATGATTGATTATGAAGCGTGTTCAGCATGCTGTCCCGGGAGAGAGCCCTGAGCTCAGAAGATCCTCAAGCCTGGGGCTACCTCCCGTTTGCAGGGCGAGAGGGGAGTTTGAGCTCAGGCAGATGTGGAGAACTCCCCTGCTGTAGTAGCTAGTGAACAGATAGTGATCGCTCTTAACAGATAACCACTGACTAGCAGCATGTCTATGTGCAGATGTGGATTTGTCTTAACTTAAGCTGCATGCTTTTGGACGGAGATGGAAACCAGGGAACCCGGGGGAAACCCACGTGAGCACGGGGAGAGTGTGTAAACTCCTCACAGTAACGTCAGCTGGATTGTTAAGGACTAGAACCAGTGACGTTCTTGCTGTGAGGCAACAGTGCTAACCACTGCGCCACCATGCCACCCATCTAAAGGAGGAGGAGTAGGGGTGGAGGGGGGATTCTTCAAAACCAAGATGGCTGTGATATGGAGCTGAGGGTGTTTTTAGTGGCTTAGGAATGATTGGTCAATCATAGACTGACTAACGTGAGGCCGGCTGTGATCAATCATAAGCACGTGATCCTCTCGACATTAGTTCATACATAAACTTCACTACCTACACTTCACGATGATGTAGAATGAGCCATGGTAATGCAACACGCAATAACACAAGTGCAAAATGCAGAAAAACACCTGCAATGGCTGCTTTCAGAGATTTCCATTTGAGCACTTCCTGTGCCACTTCCTGTGGTTGAGAGTGCAGCCACAGAGCAGATCACCTCACATTACTGTCACTACACTGAACACAGGATATAAACCACCACCAGTCTGACAAACACACGGAAAACTCACTAGATCAGATTCAAGACTTTTATTGATGATTAAATTAATCAATTCTCTTAAAGATAGACACGCTCTGCAGACTCTACCGCACAGAGCTGCAGTCATGCTCAGATCACACACTCATCAGGCCATTTCTGCAGCACATTCTGATTCTCCAGAGTTTCTGGATTATCATGATCTGGGTGATCTGAGGTGAACACAGCACCTGATCACAATATGATCAAGAAATATCCGTCACATCATTCATATCAAACTTTATTACAGTCAAAACTCTGTAAAATAGACAAACAGAAGGTCTGGTGTCGATCTGTCCTGCCCTGTCAGATTTTCCTTCCTCCCATTCAAAAAGTAGGCAGCACAGGCTGGCTCAGGTTGAGGATCTGAATCTGGCAGTTTGGGTCTGCGAGTGCTGGGGTGAGATCCGCCAGTGCTGAGCGTCCCGGTCCATTTCAGCTCAGATTGAGATTATTGATGGGAAGTTCAGATCATTTTACTGACTCGGATCTTTGAATCTCGTTCATCAGATGAACGAATCTTTTTTCGAGTCATTTCGTTCATTTGGTTCAATTTGCTGAAATATTATTAAAATGTTACGAATTGCTTCCAAACACATCTACAACTAGCCCAAAAGGTTGATCACACGACAAATAAGTCATCAATAAAATACTATAATAAGGAGAAAATAATCATTCAGTGTTGACCTGCTCTTTTGTCTGTGAAGGTGTTGTTGTCTCTTTGCTCAGTTCACCTCTTCATGTCTTCAAATGTCCGTGGTTCGTTCACGTTACACTGACAGTCACATAAAATCTTAACCAATGTACACAGTCTGAGTCGACAGGAGCCATGATGATTAGTTCACCTTTCAATTCAATTCTTTATCCGGCTCTAAATGCATATGATTGGCCCGTGATGAACGAGTGACTCAGACCCGATGGAGGACTCGAGAGGTGAACGGATCAATTCTTTTTCCGGCTCTAAACGCATATGATTGGCTTCTGCCTTTCCGTGATAAACGACTCAAAAGACTTGAAATGAATGATACCACCTGCACAAATGTGCGCACGCACGGATGAACGAATCACTCCCTGAGAGGACTCATAGTTCCCGAGTCATATTGAAGATTCGTTCAAAATGAACAAATCATTCATGAACGACCCATCGCTAATTTAGATCAGTGAGGTGAGTCTTTATCAGCCTCAGGTACAGCACCAGACTCATACAGTGTTGCTCTGTCATTTGCTATCAGACTGCAGCTGTGTGAATCGTGATGTGCAGTGGTGTGATATGAGGCTGTGTGTGCAGACGACACTCAGCAGGACAGTGGAAAAGAGAATTGAACAGAAGAATATTTCAGAGTCAACCCAACATGGAGCAGTTTTCATTCAAATCAACTGAGCTGTTTGGCTCCTGAATCCTGAACGCAGCGTAAAGCTCTTGGTCCTTCGGGAAATCTGCATCAAACATGTACAAGAGCTGAACCTGTGGGATCATCCTGTAGAAGCAAACAGAACCGGCCTCCTGGTCCACAAACACACCGAGCCTCCGGATGGACTCAGTGGTTTGGACCGATTCCCTCTTCTTGTCATGATAAGCCACACATTCAGTTCTGGAGCAACACAAACTCCAAGACATCTTATTGTGTCCCAGACATACTGTAGAACCTGGCCCCTTCCGCTCAAGTCCCTTACAGGCCACGCCTACATGCACATCTGGCCCAATCACATCCACTGTAAAGAAGCAGCGTCCGGTCAGGGGCTGATGGGAAAGGACCTGGTTGCATACGTTAAATCTCTGCTCATTAGGGGGGAGCTGCAGTTTCTCCTTCTGTCGAGTGGCTAAAGTGTTGTCCTCACTCAGGAGGAGATGATCATTAGCCGTCTGAGGGTCAAAGGTGAGCGCCACCGTATCTAAAACACACGAGAGATTCATCTGAAAACGCCAAATACTACTTTAAATAGGTTTAAATGGATTTTAGCATTTGGATTATTCCATCTTGACTATTCTGCAGGGAGCATTATGAGCTCAAGCTAATTGTGAGGATTTGCACATCACACACCGCTTTACATGTAATCACACACTGAGGTAAACCTGGTGGAGCAGTTCACTTCGACATTTCTGTACAGTTTACTGGTGGTTCAATTTTCATGCATGTGTGTACTTACATTTGTGCAGTCCTGGTTGGTGACCGCAGACCCCCCCAGTGAAAACTCTAAATGAAAGTAGAGGAATCCTGTTATTTATTCATTTACACAAAACATCACGAGGTAAATCTTATTTACAACAACTTATAAAACCCTGTTCAGTTTCCTTCACTGACGTGTTTTAGGAATGTCAAAAGTACAGACTAAAATCTAAAACGTGAAGATACCAGCAAGCATTGGTCAATGCTAGCGATATCAGCAAACGATACCAGCAAGTGCTGATCAATGATCATTGGAGCCAATCAGCAATGTTTAAGGACCCACTCAACAGCGCTCATATATTAGCAGAAATTGAACTTTATTCAGCTCCAGTTCTAACTGGTACCGAAGTCTGTGTGCAGTTTTAGTCTCTCAGTAATAGTAGACACCAGACACAAGCTACAGTACCTCAGTGAAGACAGTTCAGCCCTTAGATTCTCCAGCCCCGAGTCTTCAAGATGATTATAGCGCAGGTCCAGCTCTCTCAGATATAGTGGATGTTGTTTCAGAGATGACAACAGAGAATAAACTCCTTTCATCCGGATCTGACAGCCTGAAATTCTACAAAGCAGAAGCAGTCTTTAGACATCTACATGGCCGGATTGTCACCAAACATTTCAATTCAAGTTTGACAATCATGTCATGGTAAATGATCAAGCAGAGAATAATGCAAAAGCAGGATGATGGTGTCCTACAATGAGTGAACATAACAGAATGCTGAATAACATTATTAGATCTGTGCAGTATTTTTTAGAGACAATAGCTGAACCTGTTGCCTTCTGTTATGGTTAAGGCAGGTCTTGATGTTTTTGTCTGTCAGATTAAGTCATTTTGACCCCTCAATTCTTGTCATGTCAAAAACATCATCAAACCGCATGATGGTGCTTAAGCACATGGAGCTTCAGTATTTTCCACGATTTGTTCTGAACAGAGCATCTGCCTATCGAGGAGAAGTGAGGAAACCAAGTCAAGCTAGAAACCCAGAGCCTGATGGTCACTGTGAAAGAGCTCCTCGAGTGCCCCAGGCTGGGTGAGAGGTGTCGGTGCTCTGAGCCCCAGAACACTCTGCTGTACATGAGGGATGACTCTGTTTATCTTCCCTCATCCTGATGGGTCTCCAGCACTCTGGACCTTCAGTGATGCAGAGGTGCTTCTGTCCCCTTCCCCAGATCTGTGCTCTACACTGCTCTCCCGCAGATCTCAAGACAGGCTCTTGGCCTTCATGGCTGTGTTTGCACTGTGAGTGCTCTGTACCTTATGTAGACAAGTGTGTGCTACCTGTGGGCCTTATTTAGCTGGGTGTGATACTAGTGGGCCTCATATAGACAGGTGTGTGTGTGTGTGTGTGTGTGTGTGTTACCTGTGGGCCTCATTTGGACAGATGTGTTACAAATGCAATGATGAGGGTAGTGCCTTTGGTAACTGTACGGCTTACTTAAAACCTCTACTAAGGTAATAATAATAGTTCCTTACATTTATACAGCTCTTTTCTGGGTACTCAAAGCTCTTTACACATTTTGGGGGAATCTCTTCATCCACCAACAGTCTGGAGCTCCACCTGGATGAGGCAACAACAGCCCCAGACCACACACCAGCTGATTGGTGGAGAGAAGCCAATTATGCCATGGTGATGGTTAGTAGGCCATGATGGGCAGAGGCCAGTGGGCAGACTTGGAAAGGATACCGGGGGCACACCCCAACAATCTTCCAAGGACATTTTGGAATTTTTAAAAAAGCTTATTGATGCACTTTTATTAATGTAAATGTGTAAATGTGAACCATTGACATTAGCATTAAGGACTGTTTAGTTGGACTTACTTCAGAACTTCAAGATGGCACTTATCACTCTGCAGTCCATCTGAGAGAATTTGCACTCCTGAATCTTCTAGATGATTCTCGCTGAGGTCCAGGACCTTCAGATTCACATTTCCTCCAGAAAGTACATCTCTGATCAGCTCCATGTCCTGGCTGTGGAGGTCATTGTGGCTCAGGTTGAGGATCTGAATCTGGCATTTAGGATCTGAGAGTGCTGGGGCGAGATGTGCCAGTGCAGAGCGTCCCAGTCCATTGTAGCTCAGATTGAGATTAGTCAGGTGAGTGTCTAACAGCCTCAGGTACGGCACCAGACTCATACAGTGTTGCTCTGTCAAGCCACTTCCTTTAAGCCTGTCAGTGATGCATTTACAATTTCATTCAGTTTTGAACAAGAACTTCTATGATACCTTATGCCAGAAGTCAAGAAACTTAATCTTTTGAGTGCCGGTGTCCTGCAGAATTTAGCTCCAACTTGCCTCAACACACCTGCCTGGAAGCATCAAGTGTACCTAGTAAGACCTTGATTAGCTTCATCAGGTGTGTTTGATTAAGATTAAAGCTAAATTTTGCTGGATGCCAGCGTTCAGGACAAAGTGTGATGTTCCCAGATAGTCTTTACAGATGCAAGATACTTACAGAGCCTTTCTGACGTATCTGAAGGCTGAGGAGAGTCTCTGAAACCCTTCTAAGGTGATGCTGTATTTCCTGAGGTCAAACTCAATGTGTTTTTCATCCGAAATCCTCAAGTGGTAAGCCAGAAGTGTGCACTGGAACAGTGTGAGGGGCTCTTTGGATTGTGAGCGTTCAAGCTCTGGCAAATTCTGCAAAAAAGACCTGTCCTTGAGCTCAAGGAGGCACCGAATGAGACTAACGCATCGCTCAGAGGACAGATCTCTCCTCCTCAGGGACTTAATGTATATGGTCACTTTTTTGTGCTCAGGTGAACTATTGCCCCTGAATGGAGGCAGGAATGCTTCAAGTAGACGTCTGTTGGAATCACAGGAAATCCCAAAGAGGAAACAAGTGAAAAGGTCCAAGTGTCCACTCTCAGTCTGCAAAACCACATTAGTCACATCTTTGAGGAAATCGCTCAAAGTAGATTTCTCTTTCTTTTTGCCAGTTCCTATTTTCAGGGAGTCTTCATTGTTTAACAGAAATTGACGGTATGCAAACAAGGCTGCAAAGAATTCCTGCACCGTGAGATGAACGAAGCTGAAAAACGTGGTCTTGTTGTAAAACATATTTTTGTAGCATGAGAGGCAGGTCAGAACGCCAGGATTCTGAGGCACTTCATCTACAGTGATGTTGTACTTCATCAAATCTTCTTTACTGAAGATGGAGTTCTTTTCTTTCAGCTGCCAGTACGCTAGCTCGGCCATATTCATGATCTGTTCGCTGTGCTCCTGGAGAGCATCTTCTTCTGAAAGATCCTCTACCTGATACTTCTTGTGGCTCAACCCAGTCTGAATCAGCAGATAGTGGATGTACAATTCCGTCTGATTGGAAGGCATGATTTGATTCTGATTTTGATTTGCAGTGATGTGTTTGAGAACATGAAATGTAATCCAAGAAAACAGAGGTATGTGGCACAAAATCCACAGGCTCTTCTGAGACTTCAGGTGACTGATGACCTTTTGGGAGAGCGCTGGGTCAGCAAATTGGCTCTTGAAGTACTTCTCCTTCTGCTCATCTCTGAATCCCCTGATTTGAGTTTTGTATCCATGTTTGAAGATGTGGGATGGAAGTTGTCCAGCGGCGACGGGTCGGCTGGTGATCCACAGGTGTGCAGATGGAAGCAGTTTTCCCAATAGGAGGTTTACTAGAAGCACATCAACTGTGGCCTTTTCGGTTTCACTTGACAAAAAGCGGCTTTTAAAGTTCAAGGGCTGACTGTATTCATCCAGACCATCTAAGATGAACAGAACTTTCCTATCCCAGATCCACTCAGAGATCTGTCTTGCCTTTTTTAACATGGGGTAAAAATCAAAAAGCACATCTAGAAGACTCTTTTCTCCCTCCAGCAAGTTCAGCTCTCGGAACGGGAGCAGAAACACAAGCTCTAGATCCTGATTGGCTTTTCCGTTTGCCCAGTCGAGGATAAACTTCTGAATGGTGACCGTTTTCCCGATTCCGGCAATTCCTTTGGTTAAAACAATCTTCACAGTCTCAGCTCCATCATCAGGCGACTGCAGGATTTGATTATAGGTTACGACGGTTTGCTTTGATGAGTTGAACTCATGTGTTTTCTCATCCTGCCAGATCTCATGTTCTCTATTGATGGGATCCGAGTCATCGTTGATGATAAACAGTTCTGTGTACATCTTGTTTAGACAGACAGATTCAGATGCACATCCCTCAAAAGTCCTACCAAAGTCTTTCTCCATTATTGTTTTCATCTCATTCTTTAGGTTTTGGAAGATCTCTAAGAATCAAAGTTGAAGACTCTTATTAACAGGAGCATCACACTTCAGTAAGGACAGTGTTCTACAACAAGAGCTCTTACCATCTTCATCACCTGCTGAGGTAGAGTGAGACATGCTCTGCTGAAAAAATCAACACAATATTCACACATTAATACACATAAACATATCTCTCATGCACAACACATTGCATTATCCTCACTGCAAGAGTTTAGACACTCACCACATGTATGTTCAAGTTAACATCTCCTGATATGTTATTTCCCAGTACATTCGGAGAAACAACGGTGCTGTTGTTAGTGTGGTCAACTGTGGAGTAATACTGACATGGTTTAGCTGTGAACTGTGATACAGAATTATTATCATCTAGCTGAAGGTTGTTGTGTTGCTGCAATGCGATGTTTCCAGAGTGTGCTTGAACACAGTCACCATCTGTAAAAAACAAAACAATTACATACACAACCAAAGCAGTGTCACTATAGTGAAGCTCACAGACGAACAGTGCGTCCGGAAAGTACTGACAGCGCTTCCCTTTCCCACATGTCAGAGCCTGATTCATAATAAACTACATTCATCACTTTCCTCAAATGTTTATTTTTGCATTAGCTCCATTAGTTTGGATATTCAGATCCCTCAGTATGGTTCAGGTCTGGGCTCTGGGCACTCCAGCATAATCAGAGGCGTCCCGCTATCCCTGCTCTAATATCTGGACATTCTGGCAAATCCTGTCTCCTTCCCCAGATCAGTGCTGTACACTGCTGACCCGCAGATTTATAGATGGGCTGAGGGATTTATATAGACAGGTGTGTGTTACCTGAGGGATTTATATAGACAGGTGTGTGTTACCTGAGGGATTTATATAGGCAGGTGTGTGTTACCTGAGGGATTTATATAGGCAGGTGTGTGTTACCTGAGGGATTTATATAGACAGGTGTGTGTTACCTGAGGGCTTTATATAGACAGGTGTGTGTTACCTGAGGGATTTATATAGACAGGTGTGTGTTACCTGAGGGATTTATATAGACAGGTGTGTGTTACCTGAGGGATTTATATAGGCAGGTGTGTGTTACCTGAGGGATTTATATAGGCAGGTGTGTGTTACCTGAGGGATTTATATAGACAGGTGTGTGTTACCTGAGGGCTTTATATAGACAGGTGTGTGTTACCTGAGGGATTTATATAGACAGGTGTGTGTTACCTGAGGGATTTATATAGACAGGTGTGTGTTACCTGAGGGATTTATATAGGCAGGTGTGTGTTACCTGAGGGATTTATATAGGCAGGTGTGTGTTACCTGAGAGATTTATATAGACAGGTGTGTGTTACCTGAGGGATTTATATAGACAGGTGTGTGTTACCTGAGAGATTTATATAGACAGGTGTGTGTTACCTGAGGGATTTATATAGACAGGTGTGTGTTACCTGAGGGATTTATATAGACAGGTGTGTGTTACCTGAGAGATATATATAGGCAGGTGTGTGTTACCTGAGGGATTTATATAGACAGGTGTGTGTTACCTGAGGGATTTATATAGGCAGGTGTGTGTTACCTGAGGGATTTATATAGGCAGGTGTGTGTTACCTGAGGGATTTATATAGGCAGGTGTGTGTTACCTGAGGGATTTATTTAGACAGGTGTGTGTTACCTGAGAGATATATATAGGCAGGTGTGTGTTACCTGAGGGATTTATATAGACAGGTGTGTGTTACCTGAGGGATTTATATAGGCAGGTGTGTGTTACCTGAGGGATTTATATAGACAGGTGTGTGTTACCTGAGGGATTTATTTAGACAGGTGTGTGTTACCTGAGAGATATATATAGGCAGGTGTGTGTTACCTGAGGGATTTATATAGACAGGTGTGTGTTACCTGAGGGATTTATATAGACAGGTGTGTGTTACCTGAGGGATTTATATAGACAGGTGTGTGTTACCTGAGGGATTTATATAGACAGGTGTGTGTTACCTGAGGGATTTATATAGACAGGTGTGTGTTACCTGAGGGATTTATATAGACAGGTGTGTGTTACCTGAGGGATTTATATAGGCAGGTGTGTGTTACCTGAGGGATTTATATAGGCAGGTGTGTGTTACATGAGAGATTTATATAGACAGGTGTGTGTTACCTGAGGGATTTATATAGACAGGTGTGTGTTACCTGAGAGATTTATATAGGCAGGCGTGTGTTACCTGAGGGATTTATATAGACAGGTGTGTGTTACCTGAGGGATTTATTTAGACAGGTGTGTGTTACCTGAGAGATATATATAGGCAGGTGTGTGTTACCTGAGGGATTTATATAGACAGGTGTGTGTTACCTGAGGGATTTATATAGACAGGTGTGTGTTACCTGAGGGATTTATATAGGCAGGTGTGTGTTACCTGAGGGATTTATATAGGCAGGTGTGTGTTACCTGAGAGATTTATATAGACAGGTGTGTGTTACCTGAGGGATTTATATAGACAGGTGTGTGTTACCTGAGGGATTTATATAGGCAGGTGTGTGTTACCTGAGGGATTTATATAGACAGGTGTGTGTTACCTGAGAGATTTATATAGGCAGGTGTGTGTTACCTGAGAGATATATATAGGCAGGTGTGTGTTACCTGAGGGATTTATGTAGGCAGGTGTGTGTTACCTGAGGGATTTATATAGACAGGTGTGTGTTACCTGAGAGATATATATAGGCAGGTGTGTGTTACCTGAGGGATTTATATAGGCAGGTGTGTGTTACCTGAGGGATTTATATAGACAGGTGTATGTTACCTGAGGGATTTATTTAGACAGGGGTGTGTTACCTGAGAGATTTATATAGGCAGGTGTGTGTTACCTGAGAGATATATATAGGCAGGTGTGTGTTACCTGAGGGATTTATATAGACAGGTGTGTGTTACCTGAGAGATTTATTTAGGCAGGTGTGTGTTACCTGAGGGATTTATATAGGCAGGTGTGTGTTACCTGAGGGATTTATATAGACAGGTGTGTGTTACCTGAGGGATTTATATAGACAGGTGTGTGTTACCTGAGAGATTTATATAGACAGGTGTGTGTTACCTGAGGATTTATATAGACAGGTGTGTGTTACCTGAGGGATTTATATAGACAGGTGTGTGTTACCTGAGAGATTTATATAGACAGGTGTGTGTTACCTGAGGATTTATATAGACAGGTGTGTGTTACCTGAG